TATCTTCGAACAGGGCAATTCTAATTTCTATTCGTCTAATCATATTTCATTCTACACAGATTCATTATAAATGTAGATAATTTTATTTTTTAGTTAATCATTTTATTCATTAGTTAATCATTTGACTTCACGGATATAGTAGTGGTTTAAGCGGTCACCACGCCGCTTCCAATTAGGCCGAGTGTTGAGGGTTCAAACCCCACATGGGACAACACTTTGTGATCCACAAATTGCTGTTCTGTGTCTGAGTGTACTTTGTGTCCGTTTCGTGTATGTTGGTAAAGTCCCCCGCGACACAGGATTTATTCCTTGTCTTTTAAAAAAAAAGAAAAAAGATTTAAATTAGATCTAAACCTGATTTAAAAATATTGCAAGAACCAACAGTGACAGCAATAAAGAGTGGTGCACAAAGTATTATTCGACTGCACTATTTCTGTAACTGATCACATTCTACAACTAGATTCCAGAAATATTGTTTCAAATAACATCATAGAGCTGTAAATCAGAAGCAACTTGTTTTACTTACAACCAAATCGTATTGGGTTTATTTGCAACAACAAAGTTTATTTCCAAAATATATCAGTAGTAAAATTATCTATTTGCGTCTGATAGATGGATGGAGTAATTTAACGTCACGAAACAAGATATTAGGGCGGTATTCTCGTCAAATGAAATGTGTCAAGTGCTGTTTCACGGACGATTGCCTTCGATGCGGGCCGTGGCGGTTCCCAGAAGGGAAAACTACTTGTGGGCGGTTTTACGTTTACAAATTGTAACAAAAAAAAAACGTTCTAAAACGGCGGTGAAAGGTCCATATAATTAATTAAAAAACTTAAAAGTTTAATAAATCGAGAAATAATTCTATAATGCTACTTAAGTTTTCTCATGTAATAATATTCGTAACGCAAATATACTAAAAACCACACTTTGTAGTAACAAGTCCAGTATTTTAAAGATATAGGTAAATAATATATATATAATAGATAAATCATATAATAATAGATAAATCATAATGTAAACAAAAAAAGATTTGACACACACAAATAAACAAATCATGCCCATGCATAATAAAAATGGCGCTATGATATTCTAGGTAGATGTGTGAGGTTATATCGAAAAACTATTTTTTGGTAAAAGATAGATCGATCCTAAATCGATATGCAAATACATTCGCTTTGTAATACTTATTTTGTTTTCGTTATATGTCGGTTTCGAAATAACAAAGTTGGTAAGAGACTGGCGACCATAATCACCAACACTAAACTGCTATTAAAAGTATTATGAACTACTGGACAGTAGTAATACTACCCTTATACATACTGCTTCTAATTTTAAAGAAAATTTTATATTCTTTAACACTTACTGTTTTATTGTTCTGTACTGTATTCAGCGTAGATAACATAATAATATACATCGGTAGCACTGCAGACTTTATTCCGACTGGAGCCTATGCACAGAGTGTAATATCTTTTCTTTGCAAAGAATGACGATTCAGCAGCACTTTTAGCGTGTTTGTGATATTCTTCTGTCATATTGTCCGTTGTCAGAGCATAGGCCCTATGCGTGGACCTTTACAAATAGCATTATTTTAAGGAAGTGCTGTTCAGCGCTCACTGGTGACAGTAATGTCAAGTGTCAAGTGAACACTTCAACCAACGATCTCTCTAGTACTTCCTTCGCAACTAGTGCTGCTTTTTTACTTTTCTGCAAGGTTTTTAACTTTACAAACAAGCGGGCTGTCTGGCTTCTAAATATTGTTTTAATTCAAATAGGTAGAGGTAATAATTTTACCACCACCAAGTTATGATGATACGGATTTTTTTTTTAATTTGTTACAATATAATTTGTTTTGTATGTTGTTGTTTGGGTGAACCCAAAGTGAACAGGTGAATAAGATCTCAATTACTTAGTAAGTAAAAAATTTACAAACTCACTCAGCATTTATAAACGAAAATATAGAAAAAAACACAAATACAGAGCTGACATTCCGAGGCCCTTAACTTTATTCAAGTATTCATTTAGGAAGTATTTGTGTTATTGAATTATCTGTCACAATTCTTCGTAATATTCCTTTAAAAACATTTGACATAAATAGCACTGATAAACATGAAAGCACGCAATGAAACGTGGTTTGATTTGACAAATATAATTTGCAAGGAAATGCTTTGTAAAGAAAACATGCAGATTAACATATCATATTTTACGTATGCTAATTGAGTCAATAAGCAGGCAATGACCCTAATGAGTTGGTAACAAAAATAATGTTAACGATTTATATGTGCGCGCGCGCACAGATTTATTGGATGGCAAGCGGCGCACAACGGATGAGCGTACGCTAATCCCCAGTTAGGGCCGACAAAATTAGATTTTTATTAATATAAACTTAAATTTAATAAAATTGAGCTTATAATATTTTTATTTTAACCTACAAATACTTCACTAATGTTAATGTTAAAGTAGCGTCAGAAAAGTGGACTATTAACGGACTTTATGTAATTATGAATGAACAATTTCATATTAAAATTTTGTCTGGCTATTGAAGCCCTGGGTCACATTTTTTTTGTCTGTTTACAACTACTTGCAACCCGAACTGGTTCAGAACGCTATCGCGTTGTTTATTCTGTTTTTATTATTATTATTTTTACATTCAGATAATACCCTCATTTTCCATATGAAAAATAATTTGTTCATAATTATCCTTAGAACACTAAAAATACTGTTGTTCTACTTTACTATGCGAGTGCCCGACAGTATCGTTTATGTTCTAACATCTAAATAATAATGTAATGCTTTTCATCACTAAGCGCTTCATTTGATGGTGATACAGCTAAAGCGACTTAATTTATTTTTGTAATTTGTTAATAAGACTATTGTTCTAATTTTTTTGAAAAGAGATATCCTAAAAGTATAGCAGAAACTTAATTTTCTACGATAAAAGGTCTGTTGAGCCAATGCGTAGATTATACATATAGTGAGCGCGTTACAGTAAACTCCCTAAATATTTCAATAATTATTCGTAATTGTGAAACTTCGAATGCAGTTTTTGCTATACAACGATAGTAACAGTTATAGTCACGTGAGATTCCGTACAACCCTAAATGCTTTACAAATGTGAATGTTGTAAAGAACACACGCGTTTGATCCGGCGCAATACTCTACACAGAGTACAGACTGAAACGAATACCTAACACTTGAGCACGCCACGTTCCTCATAAAGTATCGATTTACACGTATCTGAAGGCGATAACCCAGTAACTAATTGCCCAACGGTGTATTTGTGGACGAATAACCCGCACTAAAAACCTAAACCATTTTCATTGACATCATATTTTTATAGGGCTATTTTTTTAAACAAAACCTTGTAAGTGTTCAAATTATTTATATAGTTTTGAAATTGGTTATGCACCAGCTTAGATAGTAATCTCTATCCTGATTGACAACCCTAAATGGTATCATTAGATTAACCGTGGGATTCTGAATTTGACTCTTTGACATAAATTGATTTTCTATCACCTCATTTCAATAGTTAGTGTTAGAATAGGAGTTTATTTAACTAGAAGCAATATCAAAAGAGATCATAACCCACATTTTTAATCAGTTAAACTCCTTAACTCTCGAAGTCGATTGGTTTATCAATTTTTAACGTAAAACGGTTACCGTGTAAGTTTTCAAAATCTATGTCTAAAAAGATGACTAGACCCGACTAAGTGTGTCCTCAGCTGGGACCGATGACGTGTTGCCATTTAAGGAATGATGCAAAAGTATTTCCCGTCGGTGACAATGTCTCTTCTTTGTCAGTTATTCATGATTAGTATAAAAGTATTTTAGTTATCTATTGTCCTAGTTACTGCCCATTTAGTCATACGACATTCTTTTATACAAATATTAAGAAGATGAAAAAATATTTTAATAAACACAAAATAATTATTATTGTTGCCACCACTTAAAAATTTCAAAATAAATCATATTGTTGAGAGTGAACAAGCGTTTAATTAATGACAAACGAATCTTGCCAAATTCCTTAAGATTTTCTCTGATAGGTATAGGGAATAAAAAAAGATTTAGTCATTTATCTCTCGTGTTTCATTTAAAATTATATTTATCATGTCTTAGCTTTTTTAAAAATACAGTTTTCTATTAGAATAATGAAATCATTTGACATTACATTTACATTTCTAATCATTTTTATTGGATACCTTTAACTGTAATACGTTAAAATAAATCGTAAGAATCTACTCAATACACATGTTCGAAAGATTAACAAAACAAACCGATACAGATGCCAAAGAAACCGTAAAATATTCTATGAATTCAGTACAAGGCAAATACTCGAGTGCAACCGCAGAATCTCTAACAGGGGTCTTCCAAAACTATTGACAGTGAGTGTGGATGCGATCAGACTTAAGCCGGGGATTATGAAGAGACCGAAATAGACGCATCAAATCCTCGTGGATTAAGGGATTCCGTGTTCCGTCCGACAGCACGGCACAAAAATATCGAAGGCGCGCCGGATGCGACGATTAGCCTAAACATCTAGCTCGTTAATATTGTAATGCACTCGCGCCTGTCACCTTGTGTACGACATAAAAAGTGCATGGGTATGTGATCGATGTTCTCATTTGGACATTGATGTCATGCTATATTAAGTTCTCAAACGCTGTAGATATTTATTGGAACGCCATGAAAGTAGTGCATATATTTGTTGCTTGTATAAAGAATAACCTATTTTGTCTTAAAGACTAATTTCTCATCCACCTGCTATTATCATTCATCTATCTGGCTACGTAAGAAGATCGTAAATAGTTTATAACTCACTCTTGTCTCACTTTCTTGGTATTGTTAAAATTGTTCGTTGCTTCACTGCTTCTTGGGAGGACAGTCTTTTAAGGTACTGTTTAGTTTGATATCATATATCGATGTGAGTAATGGGCGATAACGGTTTTATAAATAGATACTTAATCAATCAATGTAGGTATGTAAATGTTTTCATAATAGCTTACCCTAACTCTAGCTTCAGTAAGGTTTGTCCACATAGCAATTTCCTCGCGCGTCGACATATCGGGATAGCGGTTCCTGGAGAAAGTCGCTTCAAGCTCCTGCAGCTGTTGGCTGGTGAAATGTGTTCTTTGTCGGCGTTGTCGCTTATTTTTCTTGTCACCCTTGTCGTCCATAGAGGGTTCGTCGGGACCAACGCCAGGGGTCGTTGACTCCGTCTTTATCGTGGGCTCCGACGTTAAGGGACGATTTCCTGCAGAGATAGAGAGAATTAGTTTATAAGTTTAGTTAACTTCTATGATGATATATAAGTTTTGCTCTAAAGTTTTGTATTTACTGTTAAACTTTACTTGTTTATAAAAAAAAATATAACGCTCTATTAAAATTCTTTATTTTAATAAATCACTCACTAGACATTAATTAATTTATTACATATAAAAATGGAAATCCAAAACGGAACTGGAATGAAAAAAAAACGGCGTGAGGGGTCCATGGACCCCCGGACCGAACGAAATTCCTTTCAATTTTTGGTAGACATTTGCGAAATTCTAATAATTAAATAATTTATAAAGAAAATTAAAAAAAAAAACAAATTATGGGCTGAATGCGCCCATAATTTGTTGTTTGTTTTTTTGTTGTCAAAAAGCAATGTTTATCATATGTCGATGTCAACTCTTTTAAACCATTTGAAAAAGCTCTTGAACTAGTTATGAGTATTACAAAATATATTAATCTATCAACTGAAATCTATGTTTGCGATTTTCTTCTATCCAATAAAATATATTTGTGTTTATATCAATTAATAAATTCCAATTTGTAATAATAAACACTAATTAACATTAGGTAATAATTTATTGAACAAGTTCAGTATTATTAGCTTCAAATAACTTATTATTTTTTTAATGAACTAAAATCACTAAAGTAAGTTCAATTAGGTATTATTTTTTAATCGAATCAGTAACACGTTAAATCACCTCTGAGTGACAACATACAGAACTGACAAAAAAACTCTTGTTAAAAATTTATATTTAATATTATGAAAACATAGAACTATATCTTTATTGCTATACAACTAAATTGATGAAGAATTCAATATAGTCTATAAAACCAGTATAAGGGGAAAGAACATCTAAAATTGTCTACAAGAAGAAGTGTCAAACTGCAGTTAGACGTCATCTCAACCACAACATAGTAAACAAAACAGTCTCAAAACTTAGTAACATAAGCTATGTTAATATTTAATACTATCTGCATAAGGTTTAAATTTAATTATATTCACAAACAGAATAGCATATTTTAAATCTATTATTAACTGAAACTAAAGTAATGCAATTTCAGAGATTAGTTTAGTTTTAGTGAGATCTTGAACAGACTCGGCACTACAAGCAGTAAAAGTCAATAAGTTGAGAAATAAAAGTAAACAAAAAGTTTTATGTTTTACTGTTTGCTTATTAAATAGTCGTTTACATTGTGTAGAACCGATAAATCTTTGTGTAATAGTACTTATAATAACGGTATATTTAATTTATATTATTCACTGGTCTTTATTACTGAGACATACAGTATATTCTGTATCATATAAAATATATGTTTAATGTAAACGTAAAGAAGGCTCGTAGCTATTTATTATTGCATTGCGATCTCAAAAACCCACTGTAGCGGTTTTTTTGCTTAAGAAAATGGGAGACGGTAGACAAACATTTTCAATTATGACTCCTTTGTCACTTGTTAGATTCTTAGATTGAAACAATGGAATGTGACAGAAGAAACTAAAAGTATAGATAAACCGTAAATTCAATAAAAAACTGTTAAAGACATTTGCGAGATTTAAATTTATTAAGGACAAAATCAAAGAACAAAAAAGATCCGTGCCGCTTGTACACCTAACTTCTTAATAACTCCAAAACATAAATTTGGAAGAAGTTGAAATGAAAGACATCGCCATAGTGAGTGTTCTTACACCAAAACAACCCGCCTATCTTAGAACCAGAGAGAAAGAAAGATATGAAATCATAAGAAATATACAGTTGACAGTTCACTGTAAAATCACTGAAATATCCATACGTATATTAAAACAAAATGAAGAAATAATCCATGTTAATCTAATAAACTAACCAACAAATTCCTAATTAAACGGAAGTAAAAGAAAAAAAGATATTTCCATTCAATATTATCCAGATAATAAAAATGTAGAATCAGGGCCACGGTGGGCGAGTACCGGTAGCAAGCCCATAATACGACGGATTAGGCGCAAGCGCAACTAATACTTTTACGACACTACCGTAAATTCGTTGATCTCGATGAGCGACGTCACAACGCTCGTAATTTATATCACTTATATGCAATAAAATCTATTTTCGATATAATTTTACAGATCATTATCAGTGTAGTAAGTTTTAAAATGTGTAGGAATATTGTAGTGTTTTGTATGAGTTAGTTTTTCTGTGAATGACTTCATTACAAGAGTAAGGTAAAGTAATAAATATAATTTATTATGCGTGTGTAGGATAGTTACAGATTATTATTATTATTATTAGTCAGTCTGTGACTACACCCTGTGCAACCGTGTCGAAACGTCAGGCAATTAAAGGTATTTAGGTACTTAATGCGCGATTATTCCCGTAAGACATAATTGTACAATTTTATGGGTACTTATATTACTATTATCATAGTCATAAATTTATAAATTCGAATCTAATTTTTTTGTGAACAAATTCATGTTAAATCTATACTAATATTATAAAGCTGAAGAGTTTGTTTGTTTGTTTGTTTGAACGCGCTAATCTCAGGAACTACTGGTCCGATTTGAAAAATTCTTTCAGTGTTAGATAGCCCATTTATCGAGAAAGGCTATAGGCTATATATCATCACGCTAAGACCAATAGGAGCGGAGCACCAATGAAGAATGTTTCAAAAACGGAGAAAATTTATTACTATTGAGAGACGCAGACGAAGTTGCGCGGGTCAGCTAGTGAAAAATATGAGTTTGGTTATCTTGAAAGGTTTCTTTAATATAAATATAGTAACACTCTTGAAACTTTGTAAACGTTTAGTATGGTATTTAACATACTCTATAAATTATACACCTACTTTTTAATTATTAGGCAGAAATGTAATCTTGAAAAATACACTCTATGAGCAAAGAATTTTAAAAAAATCATCGATTTGTAGATTTTCAGTTCTAATTTAAAACATAAAAAAAGAATTTAAAAAAAATCAAAACAAGATGTACCAATGTATTAACCAAACCACTAAAGTAACAAAATTATTTGCTTGCATAACGTTAAAATTCCCTCGAAACCGTATCACAGTTCGAGGGGACAAGTGATACGGTGTTGTTATTACATCAATTCGTTACTGATAACGCCTCGATCGCAATCAAGCCGCGTATATTGGCTTTGCTCGAAATCCCTATGTCAATGTACCTATTGTCCCTCATGCTATACAGTAAGCTATGAATTTCAGTCTGAAAAACTAGACAACAATTTTTAATAAGTACAAAATTTAGAACCAAAATAAATGACAATAAAAATCAACTGACAATAAAAATCCGCACAATTTATTAGCCATCAAATTATGTATTTCGGGAATTAACGCACTCACGATCACTTTTGAATTTGCCTGACGTTTCGGCTAGGTCGCACTGACTCGGACCGCGAGAGGTTTAGGACTCTCCCGGCCCGCCAGGCCCGGGAACGGGCCAGGTACCGCAGGCGACTCAGGCGACGGAGGTCGCAGAACGATCTCCGTCCTCCATAAGCACAGGCCTGGCGATGACAGGTGAGGCCATCTGTCACCCAAGCAGAAGCAGGCCGGGGTGGCGGCGAGCGCGTTGCGAAGCGCGCTCGCTTCCAGGGAGCAGAGGGAACATGGGGTTCCCACACGGGGGGGGGGGATCGTCTACCTGTTGTTGTAGATGACCCGAGGTATGTCGGGGCACCAGGGACTTCCTTTCTATACCTGGTTCCCCGGCTATTAGTACCCGAGACTGCGCTGCGTGCGGTTTTAGTCGGTTCGTGTCCGACATGCCACCGATAGATTGTTTCGATGGGTTTTCGGCACGGAAAAAAAAAAGGTCGCACTGACTCTCTGATAGTTTACTCTAAAACATGATGTCAATTTCTCCATTTACTTTTCAAACCTAAATTTGAAAACATCGTCATACAACGAACTTAGAAACAGTTAGGAGACTCCTGTGTTACTAAACCAATTAGCTATTTCTAAATCAGCCGACGTATATGTAATAATATTTTGTCTGTAGCTGTGACTAGTTTTATTTAATTATGTCTTAATAAATGCCAGCAAATATTAGAATTCAAGTTTTAAATTATCGGATGGAAAAGATAATACCTACTGCTATTTACTCGGCGTTATGATGTAAATTATTTAATGATTTCACTACAAAGTTTTATTAGCTATTATACAAACTTTGGGCCTTACGCTTTTTGGCATTTACTCGTATAGAACCGCTCTGAATGTAAAAACCAAGAAAAAATAAAATAGTCATAAAGAATAGTTGCATAAATATTACCTATGTATTATTAAACCGCACATACATGCAGAAGATTTTTTCTAAGCTATAAGAATGGTAATCAAAGATTATTAAAAAAAGTTTTGCATAAGAATACAAAGTATTAAGAAGGTCGGTAGGTACAGTAGCAAAACAAAATAATCAATGAAATCGCATTTACTAATAATGCGATAAGGTATTGTTATTTCAAATTATAAATTAGTTTATAACATATCGGATTAACGTTTATAATTTTATTGGGGTGCTTATGTTGATTGAACATTGTTAAATAATTATCATTGTATAAAACACCTACATAAGAAATGGCATTGTGACATCGTACTGTTTGCTCTTAGGATGCATATACAATTACCTATATGTATTTAAAATGATAAAGAAAAAGAAAAGGAACTAAAATGATTTTCGATGAATAAGGTTTTTTTAAATGTTTATACCTGTACCTACATACGGATAAAACCGTTACCAAACTGTACTTTGCTACTAATTGCTACTGTACACAAAATAGTCAAATTATTAAGATGTTAGTAACACTAATCTTATCTAATATTAGAATTCATCTGAGAATAGTTATAATTAAATTAATTTGTAATGAGCATGTTAATTTAGTTATAACCATGCAATATATAGTGATAAAAGCTATTTTAGCTAATATTGGACTTTTGAAGAAAATATGGATGAAAAATAAAATTTAGTTAAAAGTTTGAGTGTTTTTGGAATCTAATCAGTTTTCATTGATAAATTATCAAAAGAGATATTATTATGTACATTTTATTTGTATTATGTACCGTCAGAAGTACAAAAACAACTTACCTACCTACACACTATCAAATGTTAAAATATAATTTATAGTCAAATTATTGCGTTACGACCCTCAATTTCTGTGGTTCTTCAATCTCATCGATGTAAATTAAACAAGGTGGCACTGTGTTCTCAGGACTTAGGCCTGCAGCTACCAATAACATTTCGAATGACGATTATTGGCTGACATATAATCAGGGTTGTCGAATTTCAAAAACTGCCTCTTTCATGTTAATATAAATATAACATTGGTTCGTCTATAATACCATAATATCCTACGTTATCCATGTTTTCTAATTTAAGAAATGTTCTGAAGAACTTTTGAAAATTGCATTTTCTTTAATTATCCGAATTCCATATATCCATATTATATATCTGAGTATAAGGTCTTGGGCCATATAAGAACGATCGGTGGTGTGGTTAAAACACGCCAGTGCCAACCCTAACAAAGTCCGATACGCGTCGATAACGCGTCGATAGTGTTTATCAGCGATACGCTTTGAGCGTTCGCCGACCCATCCATCATTCCGAACTAACCTTTGCGTTAGTAGGTAACATATTTAATCTACGCCTTTACGTTTGGCCGACATGACAAGAGCGCGCTGGTAAACAGCGCAGTTACATGTGTTAGTGATATCAGAACATGTTGCCACTTCAAAATCCGACACTCGATTTTGATAAAACATCGCTGCGTTTCCTTTAATGTGTTTACATTTAAATAGTTTTACAACGAGTGTACATTCACATAATGACACTTATCGTATCGAATACTTCTGTATATACATATATATGTGTTGCGGATCTAACTCGTATTGGTAGACAGTTAACGATATTTATGATAGCTTCGAATAAGGTAGCTACGATTTATACAACCTATTTACTTTAGATAATAATACAAATAATTTCCTTGAGTGCGCCATAGTGGGACAGCTTGATAAGTAAAATTTGGGAATAGTATGATATTATAATGTGATATACAGCTATAAATTAATAATAATAATTACTTGACAAATCTCACACACGGCCATCTGATACTAAACTAGCAGAGCCTGTATTATAGTAACAAGACTACTAATATTCTACACTAATAATGGTCGTGCTGATCACATAATTATTTGCTCAGAGTGAGGTCAATCAATACAACCTTTGGCTTAGCAGTCAGGACTAGTAATTGAACGATTTTTGAATCGAGTATTATGAACATATGTAATATCCATAACTTACTTTGCTGCTTACGAGCTGAACTACACATTAATTTTCCCCGTAATACACGTTATTCATTCAGTCCAAAAACCTGTTCAACGGCTTGTAACTTTTTTCGGTTAATTGTGGTTTCGGTACAAAAAAAGATTTCCTAAGTTTTTAAAAGTAAGAAATTTCTTAGTAAAACGAAAAAATCTTTGAAGGAAACAAGTTTTCCAATAAACTATTCGAAAAAGTTATTCTTTCACAGAAGTTTATCAAAGAACATGATTACTACCACAAAAAATAATTATTAATTATTAATATTATTTAGTTATAGTAAGAATATATTTTAACCAATTTTAACAACTTAAATGAATTTAATTCATAACAACATATTTACCTACTGCATTATGATAAGCTTTCAAGCTTCTAGTGTAGGCAAACCTGTGATTGAGCAAATGTCCACTAGACTCAATATCGGGTATTAATTTGATGATAACAGTCATATAAGGACGCCTCTACAGTAATGACTACTTAGGGGACTCTCCTAAGTAGTCATTAATATACATAATCTACTAGTTGGTAATTGATATTACCATTGTATTCGTTAGGTAGTCGTAACGTTGTAGTTAGGATTATCATGTGCAATCTAATTTTATAAATAAAAAATAAATAAAAAACTGAATATAACTTTAAATAATTACATAAATTCAAAAGCTGCAGAAATATAACTACGCCTACTATCTTATAGAAATGATCTAAAAAAATTATTGGCCTGTATAATATTTCAGATATATTTACCATTAAAATACATTGAGTCATATTAATACGACGCTTAAAAAATCTTCAAGTGTATCTTAGCCCCCTATCGAGCCATCTTAATTAATTATATTATTATATCTTCATACAATAGACACTACAGACTACTCGTCAAGAGTATTCAAAGCAATCACTATTTTGAAAATCTTTGCAGAATTAAATAAGATTTCTCCAATGTCTCGCACCAATCCAGTTTTATTAAAACTTCAAATTCATAAGGAAAAAACACAGTGTGCAAATATTAGGGCAGCATTCACACCAACGCGACACGCAACGGTTAGGTAACCGCGCCCGTTCGCGTCGTGTGGCTATTTGTGAAAGCATTAGAATAACGCGCGGCCGTATTTGCCATAGATTTCCTCGCGCTTTACTAGGTTTACTTTCAGTTTTAAGCTTGTCACTTTGTGTGGTCCCGAAATGAAAATACTTTATTTCAGATTATGATTGGTAGGTTTTTCTGTATTTGATTTTTAACTGAGTTCGAAGTTGAAGTAGGACGTTCTCAATTGTGTATCTTTTTATATTTGTTAAGTTAGAACTCCATTATTTCTGCAGCGAACCAATTAATTATAATACTTCTCATTCGATTACATTCATAGTAAAATAAAAAAATCCACCTCTAGGGGGAAAATTAAGGATTCAAGAATACAGTTTATTGTAATTGTCACGATTTAAGCGCAGTATGTTTAAAAATAATAATTATTGTTTAATGTAATGAGGACGACTATCATATATCAGGCAAAGGATAAGGAAAGGTATGCTGGTGTAAATAAGCTCAAGTTAATTTGATGGTAAAATCATTTACCTATTCCTGTAGAGTAATATTAAATAAGTAATTCATTCAGTAGTACTTGTCATATGTCAATACCTTAACTGACGGAATGTTAAAACAGCGTTTTAGCTGCGGTTCTTCAGGTGAAGCTTAGGCCAGAACTTGAAGGAATACCACTTGTGTTACGAGTCTTTATCAGTGAAGTCTTTTATTTAATTTATAATAAAATAATAAATTATTTATTGGAGTAACTAAGACTCAAAGATGTTAGTAAATATTCGTACTTGAGAATATATTATAATGTACTTGAATTTATGGACAATAGTAATCTACGTGTCTATAACTAGAGTGGGTCGTACGCTAGTTTGACTGTTTGGGCATAATTAAATAAAAATCAAATAATTAGGAGTTAAATAAAAATCATAGCACTTATCAGTGCAAAAATCATTATTGACTTACCGTCATCGGTGGGTTTGCGGTCGCGTCTCGGCCTAGGAGGTGCATATAGTGAAGACTGGTCCACTCCTGATCCACCCGAAGCTAGCGATGAGTGACCACTGTCCCGAAATTCTCCCGTCTCTGCCCATACTGCACATAACAATAAAATATACATAAAATAAAAGGTAAAACTGCCGGTTTATCGGCTGCCTGAAAGAAGTAGAAACACATACATGTTGTTTTTAAATGTTTCAAGGTTTGTTCTAGTCAAATGTACGTTTATATATTAAATTTTAGAATTAATTTGACTTGTTTTCTATAGTTATGTATTACTAATGATATTTTTAATTAAAAAGTTTACAGGTTTACCTGAATTTTAATTACCTAGTGAAAGTTTATAAATTTTAGCTACACACATAATTATTGTACATAATTATTTACTAAAATATACTGTATAATGTTCAGTGTAATGGCTAGTAAGTTCTTTATATAGAGTTAATTCTGGAATTGTGTCAATTTGAAATGATAGCAAATTATTTTAATCAACTTCAAATATTTTAACCATTGCTTTTCACTTTAACATCATGTGAGCCACTGAGCTCATTAAAGACTCTGCCCAGTTATATTTACCATGCATATATCAAGGAAATATTTAAAAGTACAGCAATGTTAAAGAATCACGTGAGTTTACAGACGATTATCATGTTTATTGATCGTGAATAAGCCCAGTGCAAACATTATAATGTTTTCGTTTCAACAATAGGACTGGTGTCGTAAAAGTAAAACGTTCTTGAGTAAGCGCACCGTATCACTTGATAGTTTGTTCAATTAGTCACTTAGACTCTTAGAAATATCTAAGCTATATTACATAAGTTAGAAAACTATTTCCAAATTGACATGTAGTAACGAGGTACATAGTATATCTTTTATTGCCACATGTATTATATAGTTCATTCATTTTAAATGAGCCTGAAAGGAATGATAAAAAGCCATATGATTAAATCTATGTATCGAATCGTAGCTATGAAAGGCAAAATACTGTACACACATTTCAATGTGACTGAGCCGAATATAACAAAACAAGAAAAAAAAAGATTCGCATGCCATATCTGAATTTTTTATAAACAAACTAAATAATATTGCTGTCATTGCCAGAATATATCATAACAAATCGATTTTTGTTATTTAAATAAAGCATTAAGCGGATGTATTACACGTTCTATTAATATTACTAATAGATACATTATTAAACAAGGATATCTGACAAATTAATGTACGCGTTAAACGACGATGACGCCCCGTTGCTTGCACTGTAATTAAGTGTCCTCGAACACTTGTTAACAAATTAGTCACTGGAGACGCGGCCGTGTGAGCGAGCCCTTATTTATAGCGCCCGCCATATGAGGTGCCACACATGTAAAGTAGTTTGGTGTTTTTTTATAGCACTAAATGTTTTTGAAACTACTTAATTCAGTTCTTCAATTAAATGTTAATTAAAATATTTTATACTCCAGTAATATTTATTTATTGTTTGTTGTGAAAAATGTAACCAATTAAAATCCATACCTTCATTTAAAAATAAAATGTCGTACAAGTTTTCGAAATCAACCATTAAAAAAAATTGATATTAAAACAAATTGCAGTGAACTATACCCTCTTTTCACCCCTGAGCCACGTGTACAAGTTGCTCATGAGACTTCTTACAAACCATATCCCGGGAAAGCACGACTGATTCAGGCCATGAGAACAGTCTTATGTCTGAGTGAGTCTGAGTGTCTACACAAAAAGGTTACTCTTCTACTGGCTTGTTTGTGAAATAAATCTGGGCCTCAATTCTGCTATTTTATGTTTACGCCAAGCCACTGTCATACCACTGACACGCTATTGAGATGCCATCGAGTGGCCATTGGCATTAAAATAAATCAGTAAAAATAAATAAATAAGTTCCTCAAAAAACGTAATATATTTTCAAATTATAAGGAAATGATTTTTTTATTTTAACATTTTTTTTATTTTTATTTTAATAATTTATTTATTTCTTCTTTTTATAATTGTATTCTTTTAATAATTTATTTTTATTTATTTCTTTCTTTTAATCATTTATTTAAATAAAAATAAATAAATAATTTCCTCAAAAAACGTAATATATTTTCAACTTTCGATATTTATACCGATGCCAATGGCCACTCGATGGCATCTCAATAGCGTGTCAGTGGTATGACAGTGGCTTGGCGTGAACATAAAATAGCAGAATTGAGGCCCTGCTGAACGTTAATCTAGAGGTCGTTTGTTTCGATTTCTATCCGAGGGCAAATACTTGTGTGCTGAGTAGGATTGTTTGTTCTGTGCCTGAATGTAATTTATCTATAAAGTAATCATAAGCAGTCGTGTTACCGTAGCATTCTTAACTTGTACCATACTATGTATATGATTAGACGTGATTATGACGTGACGTAGAATTTGACAAATTGAGAATACTAAAGGAAAACCTTACAAAATTGAAGTCATCTTAGAGAATGTTCATGGATCATCTAACCATTCGCTAGTAAAACATCTTTAATAGCGACCCGTCGGTTTGCCGATCGTCATTGTCTTAGAAACAGAGACGCCATATTCTTATAGTCGCAAAATTTGCTGAATTCTTTAGCATCTATTTTTTAATATGTGATGTAATAGCTCTTTGTATCCCACGAAGTATTCTCTTCACATAATTAAATTCAGGACCAGAAATCTATATAATCTTTTAATTGCGCTTTTGCGCGGACGCAGTTTCTCGTCTAATTTAAACTTGTTACATTGTTTTACCTATATTTTTCTTCTAAAAGTTCAGTTTTTTAATGACTGGAAAAACGTTATTTTCTATTGTTATATCACTGTAACTGATTTTTGTTGAAGTTTATTTAAAGTCTACGACTCCGCTGTGACGGGCGGTGATCCTATTGTTTTGGTAAAAGTCACGAACTCGACAATTGATAGCTGAGAATGTTGTCAGTAATTACAATTAAAAGTGTGACCGCATTGTAATTCTTTCTTTTTTATGTTCTAATGTTTATTTTTAATTTTCAGATTGTCTACTGTAAGGAAGTTTACCTACTGAAATTCGTTGGCTGGGTTGGCAGTCAAATAGCTGGGATTGTTTATTTATACTATCAAGGTGGCAAACTAACTCACGGCAAACCTTGTAGAGAGCTGGAACCGATATCTATACGTTCTCGTTTTAAGATGGGAAAGGAGTATTTGTTTACAAATAGTGTTATTAACATATTTACGCAAGTCATTTAATAAATAACAAAAAAACAATATTCATAATACAAACTTATAAATTACGTGACAATATCTACGTTGAGCCACCCGCTTAGAGCATGTCTCAACGTAGCCAGGATATATACGTGTCCAGGATATTTGGTAACCTATAAGGTTACCTATAGACTCTGAACTGTCATTGAGTAGACTTACTACTCAATGGCGGTTCGAGTTGTACAGGCTAATGTATGTAGCAAAAATTAATAATACCATGAATTACAATAGAAATTTGACCACCAGCTGATCTCTAGTTAATATATATCTCTCTTTTGAATGTTCCCAGGTTTAAGTTATCATAGTACGAATAACTTAAATACTTCAAATATATATATTATATATATTGTATTATATGAGGTATTATAATTTTACAGAAAACAATACCAACATATTGACTGATATATATTTGACTGCACGGATAGTGTAGTGGTTTAAGCGGTCGCCACGCCGCTTCCTACTACGCCGAGTGTTGTGGGTTTAAACCCCACATGGGACGACACTTTGTGTAATCCACAAATTGTTGTTCTGAGTCTGGGTGTTGTTTGTGTCCGTTTCATGTATGTTTGTAAAGTGACCCACGACACAGGATATATTCCTAATGCGGGAGTTGTCTTTTTAAGAATATAAAAAAAATATATAGCGTTAGCAGGCAGCGTCACTTATAGCCCCATAACTCTTCTTAAAAAAAAATCCCTCGAGTCTCGCTTAGAATTTTATTAAGTCTTGAGTGCACCTAAAGAAACCAAGATCATCGAACCCATTGCCTTAACCGTTACCTTTAGTTAATATATTTTACAATATCGCATTGCCATTGCGCATTATCGCCCTCAATATTAGGTCGGTAAATAGCCAAGTTATAAAGACAATTGGTCAAACTGTGTGTAATACAACCTGTAATTATTTAGGCACACCTTTGTTCTAGCCACTATTAGCGTATATGTTATCAGTTGTCATTGTACAACAAATGTCGGGCGGTACAAACGTATTTACGAGTACATTAGGAACGAGGAACGCGTTCAAATAAATTTTATGTTTGCTGCATTTGATAACGAGTGATAAGAGCGTTTATTGTTTTATTGGGGGCTCTAAAACGTCTCCTCCACACTCTCGTTAAATGTGATGAACTGAGGACGCAATCGTACATAAAAGTGTTTTATATTCCACACACGACATCATCGTCGCCGCACTCTGCCACCTATTTGCTTAATTTTGTTTATACCTACTCCTTGTGTTAGGATTATAATTTAGTTTTAAGCGTATACGTTTAATATGATATAACATGTTGGTTTACAGATGTAGTGAAATTCTGGCGTCTTGATGTTATAATTTAATAAGATGATGTCGTTGTTATCAGAGGTACAGTTAAGTTGATAACGAATTTTAAAATCTGTTTAAATAAGGCAATCGTCATCAACAGACTATAACAGTCCGCTACTGGGCATAGGCCTCTCCTTAGAAAGGAGATTTTAGCCTACTATTCCTTCTCTTCACAGTGCTGGTGTCCTGAGTAGTTTAAAAAAAGATAAAAATGTTACTAAAAAGTACGTCATTTGTCATTTGCTCCATGCATTTGCCCGTAGTGATATTTATTTTTTAACAGACTTCAAAAAGGAGGAGGTTATCAATTCGGATTTTTACATATATTTTTATGTTTGTTAGGGTATAACTCCGTCATATATAGACGGGTTTTCAAAATTATTTATTTGTTCCAAAAGGGTTTATTTCGAAATGGTACCATTAAATTTCATATGCATCTGATGATGAGTTTCGGAGACAGACAACGGTACTCCTAAAAAAATGACACCAAATCAACAGCAATTAGGTTTCTAATGTGTTTTGCTAGTACTGTT